ACGGAGAATGAAAACGTTTTTCAGGAGTCGCGGCAATAGAGGCGGCGCAACTATAACGACATGTGAATAATCCCGCCAACTCTAAAGCAGTACTGAACTGCAGTGGAAACGCAAACCGTTCCGTGCCGTACCGTACTGAGCCGAGTCATACCACGCAGTGGAAAAGTGCCATTAGACTACTGGCTCAATGCACATGGCCGTGGTCCATGCAAAGCTTCCTGAATGTTAGAGTGTAAAGCATTAGCTTTGATTGATGGAGCCTTTTCCCTCTTGTTACTCACAGAAGGACGAACTGGACAACAGCACAATTGAACTTAGCAAAGTGCAAAGTCGGTGAAAGAAATTTGTTCCACTGGTATCTGTTTCAGAGCTGTGTTTCGTGCGCTGGGGTGGGCTTTCATGTCTCAAGGCAAAGTTTGTCCCTTTTTCTCTACGATTTTTATCCATGGATGAATACCAGTTATGTTGTACGGTAACAGTGACTCAAATTTAAGCCTTTTATCTATTTATAGTAATAATTATTTTGTCATGCAAAGACACATTGGGTCTCTTACAATACGTTCCGCCCTGTGACAAATGGGTTTGGCTCTATTATGTTTAGATTCAGAGAGAACAGAGAGTGAAATTGTATCTCAAATCAATCAGAATTCAATAATTTTTTCTGCTTCAGTGTTGATGTAGTTGCTGTGGTTTGGCTTCTGAAGATTTTCGTGCGTCTGGACACTAATCATGAATTTTTTTAAAAATGCAGTGGGGCGAATTCACTTAGAATTAATATAGCTCAGTTTATTTGCAAGTGTTGTTTTGGTGCCTGGTTCAGTGAAGGAATTAAATTAGGTAATGACTCAAACGTACCCACAAAATTTGTACTGAACACAACGTGCTCAAATTAAACGTATATTAATTCAGAAATTAAACAAGTGGCAGCCACTTCATGGCCGATTGCACCACACACAAAACTTAAAGGGTCCCAGGCCTGGTCCTTTCTCTCGCTCCACTGGCACCACTCCTTTTTATATCTCTTATATCCTCTGTGAGACTCGATACCGCACATTAGCACTCACGCCACCGGCCTCGCTCCATTCCCATGACTCTCGGCCCTGACCTGTTTGCCACAATCATATTATACACAGAAGTCTCTCTGAGGTATTCATTTTTTAATGCTTTTTCTATGATAAACTGGCCACTTTCATTCTTCACTTGAGCCTTTTTTGGATGACTTTATTCAAAATGAGGTGTAACACAGTTCGTAGGTCGGGAAGAAGGAGGCGGGAACCGGGCGAACACTTAAACAAAACTTTAATAAAATAAACAAACACAAAATGAAAGTAAAGCGGCAGCCCCTCGCGGACGACTGCCGCACACAAAACACAAAATAAAGTCCAGGCCTGGTCCTCTCTCGTCTTTCACTGTCGTCACTCCTCCTTTTATCCTTCCGGAGCTCCTCCGTGGGACTCGAGACCGGTGAGTGTTGCAGGTGTCTCTCATTATCAATTAGTCCACCGGCCTCGCTCCGTTCCCACGGCTCTCGGCCCCGCCCCCACTCGTCACATGAGGATATTTAATAAGGCAAGAATTGAAGCAGTTTATGGTGAGTCTGACATGAAACAGTTGGCCTTTACATTGTAGCATTTCATTGTGTCATTGAATATTGCAAAAGTATTGTTTAACCCTAAAAAAAAAAGATGATAATCATGGTGTGAAAAGCCCTGGTTTAGTTGAAATTCTCAGCATCCAAAAAACAAACAGAAGTATCTCCACAGATGTTTGCTTCACAGTGTTGAGTTCCTCTGTTTATTTACTTGAGTTGACAACATAATCCAGTCAGGATGCATGTCAGCATCTTGTAGCGTTTATTTAGATCTCACACCCCTAAGGGCCCATAAGGGCTTTCAGCTCAGCAAGGTGCCTCAAGGTCCCTAGATGTGTGAAGACCCAAAAAACACATTTGTATTTCCATGGTTTGTTACAAAGTTTTATGTCATTTACCAGCTATCAACATTCTCACAGTCATCTGATATACCACTTTTTTTTTTTTCATTTGTTGGGGTCTCTAAGCCAAAATCCTATTTATTTTGAAAGTGTTTTTTTTTTTCTTTCTGTTTTTAGTTCATCTGATCTCAAATGCACTTCCAGGCAGCTGTATAAATATCTGTCCAATTATATGCTAAATGAAGGTGTGCACATGTGCACATGACCTCTGTGACATGAGCATGGCTTATGTTAGTGTTGTTTCTCCTGAGGGACGAATGTCTATTTTCTCTGTATTGAATGCTGGAGGGTTTAGTGCTCTTCAAATGAAGTTACTGAACCATGTTGTTTTTTTCTTCTTTTAAAATACTGGAATGTACAGTGAAGGAACTACTTTGCAGATTTTTCAAAGACATTCAGTGTTAATAGAAATATATATGTGACCCTGGACCACAAAACCAGCCTTAAGTCACTGGGGTATATTTGTAGCAATAGCCAAAACTACATTGTATGTGTCAAAATTATTGATTTTTCTTTTATGCCAAAAATCATTAGGATATTAAGTAAAGATCATGTTTCATGAAGATATTTTTTAAATTTACTACTGTAAATATATTCAAATAATAAAAACCTTCATTTAAAAACTGCATGTTGTGTTTACTTGTGTTATCTTTGACTAATATTTAAATTTGTTTGATGATCTGAAACATTAAAGTGTGACAAACATGCAAAAAAATAAGAAATCAGGAAGGGGGCCAACACTTTTTCACACCATTGTATATATATATATTAGTCAACATGAAATTGACCCTATTTACTTTCTTAAGATGTGTTCTTGGTCTTGTTGTGAAAGATTCATCTGATTATGTTATTCCAAAGAATTTTGATATCCAATTATCCATGTGAGCTAATGGATAATGTGAGTAGCCAAATCTATTTAAGTATTGTTTTAGCAAACACAATTCATATTCTGGGATAGTACACCCTGTGTGCTGATCATGATTCTCAATAGATAAAATCAAATCCTGCTCCACATTTTTCTTGTTGAATATAGTGTTTCACACTGAAATATGTAGGACTGCAAACAGCAATTCATGTTTGACTTTCGGAAATCACACTGGATAAAATCTAAATATTTGTTACTGTAATTCATGTTGTGATTCTTTTTTTTTCTTCTTTTGATCTGTATTTATTTCAAGTGTTTTAAACTATATGACTAAATGCTAAAATAATATCAATTTGTTGCAGATTAATGTTAGTTGACATTTATCCAAAGCTATAGTTTCTTTAGATTGATATGAACAGATTCACTAAATCTACTACTACCTTTACTGACTAATGAAGAAAGGAATATATATATATTTCCTGTTCCTTTTTTACAGTTTGATGACATGCAAACTGATGTATTTGTTTCCATAAATAAATAATTAGAATTATTATGGCAGCATTTAATTTCATTATTTACATTGCATCTCAAACACTTAAAGGTGTAAGTGAAGTACCGTATTGGCCCGAATATAAGACGACCCTGATTATAAGACGACCCCCCCCTTTTTCCAGATGTACCTTTTGGAAAAAGGCTTTTTAAAAACCAAATCTTGTTTTTTCTCAGTAAAACACATTTTGTCTTCAATTATTTTCATATTGCATATTTTTCCTATTTTAATTTTTGTTTTGAAAGTATGGTAAAAACTGGTAAAATGTACCAACAATCACATTTAAAAATATACACTTTTCGATATACCATAAAAATAAAATAAAAACAGGTAGCCCATCTGAATTAGGACATTTAGGCTATCCATCTAATAGTAGCCTACCAAAATCTTATTAACAGTAGAAGTTAAATCTTACTGTAGTCTTCAAATCTGGGTACTGTCTTACGTTTTAAAATCACAAAGGGAGTTTGGTCCCATCAGGCTAACGTGACAGTCACGACTCATGCAGCTGTAAGGTTTTCTTTTTCTTTTGTTTTCACTCGCGATCTTTACAACACGCATTACATCACGTATTTCATGGCACACTCGTTTTATGCGTATTTGGCGCCACATATTGTTGTGGGTGTATTATTAACATGTCAAAGTCTAGACCCTGAATATAAGACAACCGCGTTTTTTCAGATGTATTTCCAAGAAAAAAACATCGTCTTATATTCGGGACAATACAGTATTGATATAACTGTAATTGAGTCAATTAAAGGGATAGTTCACCCAAAAATGAAAATTCTGTCATCATTTACTCACCCACAAGCCTGTATGAGTTTCTTTCTTCTGTTGAACACAGAAGTAGATATTTTGAAGAATGTTGGTAACCAAACAGTTGACGGTAGCTATTTACTTCCATAGTTTGGAAAAAACTTTAGAAGTGAATGGCTGCTATCAACTGATAACTGAATTTTCATTTTTGGGTGTTTGGTCATTGTTTGGTCATAGATCCGTAGCTTGAAAACTCTTGGGAGTTATTAGTCAGAACGTTTGAATAGAATAAATATGGGGAAACTGTAGGTCTATTTGGTTAGAAAAGACACAACACACTAAGTAATTCTTGTAGTTTAAAGAATAGAGCATGGTGATGCCAATTGGTTTTGAATGAACTGAATAAAAATGTTTTCCTTGAATGCAACGTAAGTTGCGTTTGAATAGAAGCGTCTGCCAAATGAGTAAAATGCAAGTCAGACCAGGCTGAAGAAGGTCTGTCCATGTTTGTTGGGTATAGGCTAAAAACTTTTGGATGAGTTGCACTTTAAAACATTGGTATTACGTTTGGGATTTTGAAAACCCCCAAGTCTGGACAATAATATTATGATGCTTTTGTGAAGTTGACATTTTACTTACTTTAGTAGAGTTTTTCATGTTGTTCACACATCAGACAGAGTGCCCACATGGGTTGTACATTAAATTGCTGCTACGTGCCTAAACAGCAGTCACTAGAGGAATAGTCCTTAAACATGATATGATGGTGCTTCAACACTCTTGAGTAGACACAGCAACTTTGCCAAAACATATCCATGTTCAATCCCCCCCAACAGACCGAAGACACACTGGGCTGGCTCCAAAACAAATACAACCACCATATGTACTAAATACACATTACAAACACGAGTATGTGTGCAAGTAAATTATACCATTTAAAAAGCCAAGATGAGTTGGGAAAACATGAACAAGACCCTTGGGAGAACAGTGTTTTGTCTGGAATCTTCTCCTTGAGTTATCTTGGCAGACAGATTTTTGTTTGGCCTCACCCAGTCAGCATATAGAGACCCTACTGACACTATGATGACCAAGCGTGATGCGGCAAGTTTCCAGAGTCAACCAATTTATCTGTCCGCACTGAATACAAAACAGCTGTGCAACGTGACACAGTCACAGCCAATTAGAATATATTTGATGTTTAATGTACAGTGATGAGGAACAGGACTTTCTCATTCCATTGGTGCATAGATCCATATTGCCCAATGAGTTATGAAAAGTAATTCTCCTTTGGGATAAAAGGAATGATGGTCCAAATGCTTCAGCACTAGGTGAAGAGACGGTATTACGGATGCCATCACGTACTAATTACATATACATATACAAACTCGTTACTTTTCATAAGTCAGTGAGCAGGATTTTGGACCAGTGAAACAACTGACAACATGTCATGCCATTTGTTAAATGTAAACTATAAGTTACACTTCATTTCAATAGTCCACTTTAAACATTCTACTAACTATAAGTAACTTTGCAAATACATGTCAACCAACTCAGAGTATTAGCAGACTGTTAGGTCATATATATAGATGCCCTATTCGGGGCTGTTTCTATGGGCCGCTATAAGGCTTCTGCCATATTGGAATGGTCACAGCAGGTCTGTGAACACTCAAGAGCAAGTTGACTGTATGTCTGCAACCCTAGTTTTACGCATATGAGAATATCTATATCTGTAATAGACTTAAGCGGATGATTTTGATAAACTAACACAATACAACAAGACAAAGCCGTTAGCTAACACGACATTTAAAAAGTACTACAGTTTAAAAACCTGTAATATTGAGTTAATACATATTAAAAACAAAAACCAACACATTCCTAATAGTGAAAGTTTATCCAATTTCTTAACCAAATTTGGGTAGTTAATACATATTAAAAACAAAAATTGGAATTCCTAATAGTGAAAGTTTATCCAATTTCTTCAGGAATTTAATTTCCGGCGGTTTTTACCACCAGAGGCTGCGCAATGTTGTGGCATCTTGAAACTTAATTGTTTTGATTGTGAGTGACGGCACATAAACCCGTTTCAAGATGGCAGACGCGTCGGCGTGTCTGGAGCGGTCGAATGTGGCATCTACAGTGCCTTGCGAAAATATTCATACCCCTTCATTTTTTTCACATTTTGTTAAGTTGCTGTCTTATGCTAAACTGCTTTAAATTTTTTTCCCACATCAATCTACACTTCATACACCATAATGGTAAAGCAAAAAACAGGTTTTTAACATCTTTGCAAATTTATTAAAAATAAAAAA